GGACCAGGGAGAGGCTGGGGGGGCTAAGCTGAGGGGGCAGCGGGGTGGGGACAGGGACGAGGAGGGATGTGAAAGAGGCAGAGGGCACACCAGTGCTGGGATGAGGAAGAGGAATGGGCAGTATAAGTACTAGGTTATGAGAGGCAAGTGGGATCTGTTGTGTTCTCCAGTCCAACTTAGAACTCATACAATTACTCCCTTGTTTGAAGGGGCACAGTAACAGAATGAGGGATGAAAGGGTGGTCACAAGGTGGTGGGAATTACTGCCCTTGTATGGGGAGAGGTGTTAGTGCTCAGCTAGTGGCGTGGATTAAGCTAGTGGGGGGGATTAAACTGTCCATTCCAGACTAGAAGGTGGTTTGGAGCCAAAGCATAGCTGAGGCAAGGGGAAGAAGAGTTGTTAGCTTGCATGTAAGGTTGGGCTTGGAGGGCTATGGGATATGACCATTGTTTGGATGGGGAGTTTCTCCTTGGCTGTGCAGGGCTTTCATCTGATGGGCAGTGAGTGATAGAGTCTGCGATTCAGAGGGGGCAGTGGTGGGATGTGGTGACATTAGGGTCAGGTGGGAAAGGGCAAATATTTGACATTGGTGTGCAGAGGACTTGATGCTGAGGTGAAGCTGCAGGGAAGAGTTGGTGGACAGACTTTGGGAGGATCAGTTGGGGCTGAGAAGTGGCAACATTTGAGGTAGCTGAACTAGCATCCACAAAAATAGCCAAGGCCTTCTCTCTGTTAACTTGCCTCTAGCCTGGACTGGATTTAACCCCCCAACCCTCCTCCCCTGCACACCCCACACGTGTCTAAGGATGTTAAATCCTGGTTAAACAGTTAACCAGTTAAATACTGGGGTTTCCTGGTGTTTAACCGGTTGACCGACTAAAGTAGGATTCTGGGCTGGGGAACACTTCAGCCCAGCTGGAGCACTTCCCAATGCTGTGCTGAGGCTGTCACAGGCTCCCATCTCCCACCAGAGCAACCCCCCCTGCCTGCTGGACACCCAAACTGCTGTGAACAGGATCTGCTATGGACCAGAGCAATCTCTGCCTGTAGCCAACCCCCTGTGGGGCTGGAGCAGTCCTCCAGTGCCCCCCTCCCTTTACCAGTTAACAGAAACCTGTAAGCATTGCCTATTTAGGGTGATGCTTACCAGGAGACTGATTAACCATTCACATCCCTACACATATAGCACAAGCAAGGCTGGTTAGGGTTTGTGGCCCAGTGTAACTTATTATAGAAGCAGACGGGAGACTGTTCACAGGACAGTTCTCACTCTCTTCCAAGCCTCTCTCATAAGCACTGGAGAATATAAGTTACTTTTTAGATTCACAGCTCCTGCACCCTCTTCCCTTCCCATGCTGTCAGTGACTGGGGAGTTTAGGTGGGTTAATGCCTGGCTGGCATGAAATCCTGGGCAGCTGCAATCCGACTGTATTAGTGTTATGCCGTTGCTTAATACCAGATGTTAAGTAAAATGGTGGTGTCAGTTTTGCCTCCTACCTTATCATGCTGATAGGTAGAGCTAAAATCAGGCATAGAAAGTTTATAATTCAGAGATGCATAAAAAAATCAGTAAATTTACATATTAAACATATCATTGTTCAGTGCATGATAAAGATCATGGCTGCTAGAGTATCTCAGGCCCATTAGTTGCTGCAATCTAATTACCAAATGTAACAATGGCAGAGATTCATAAGATGCACAAAACTTCCTTTGTGGGTTGTATCTGGTAACTAAATAGCCCTCCAGTTAATTAGATGGAGACATCACAGTACCCCGATTTGCTAAGTAAACTATGTCAGAGCCAAATAAGTGACTGTGTCAGGTTAATTATTGTTCTTTTGCAACTGTTGATTTTGTGACTTTGGGGAAGTGAGTTCTGAAATTGGAGAATAAAATCCCAGATCTAGCGAGTTCAGTCCATTGTTGCCCTGTACATTGTATGCTCACTGACACTAGGGATGTGAATGGTTAACTGGTAAACTTCACCCTTTACAGCTGAGTCTTACAGGTTACAGTTAATTGATGGGGGCTGTTCCAGCCCTGCAGTGCCTGATGCAGGCAGGCCTGTTACAGGCCTGGCCTGGGTGTACTGTAGGCAGGGGTGCTACAGCCCAGCTAGAGCAGCCTTTGCCCACGGTGAGCAGGGTGGCCACCCCCTTGGCGCACCCCTCCATTTAATCGACTGACCAGTTAAACATAAAAGCTTTGTCTACACTGCAAGGTTTTTGCACAAAAAGCTTTTTGCGGAAGAGTTCTTGCTCAAAAACACATCCTCACCTCAAAAGTGCATCGCAAAAGCATGGACACTCTTGCGCAAGGAATTTCTGATTGCCATTCACAGAATGGCCATCAGAGCACCTGTGCTTTTTGTGATAGGCTCTTTTTGCACAAGAAACCCCTGTTGAGCGTCCACACACACCTTTTTGCGCAAGAACTCTTGCTCAAAAAGGAGTTATTCCTCATAGAAAGAGGTATACCTACACTGCAAAAAGCCCTCTGGTCTGCCATTTTACTGTAAATTTTCTTGCGCAAAAACGCTCTTGAGGTGTGGACGCTCCGTGGGTTTTTGCGCAAAAACGTGTAGTGTAGACATAGCCAAAGTTTAACCGGTTAACTAATTAAACAGACCTTTACATTCCTAGCTAACACCAGTGCGGAATATGTGCAGCAGGCTGCCATTTTCATCTGGAAATGTATTTACCCTCACTCTTACATTAGGTTCATGTGGTGACAATAGCTGCACAAAGTGCAGGGCAAGAAGAGCTAGGCCGTAAGTATTTGTAGAGGGTTGGACCAGAGCACTAGGAATCTTTAATCCTGGCTTCTGCTGGTGCTCTGTCACCATGGGAACTCATGAAATCTGTATCCAGTAAAATAAGAATATTAACTTGCTTCTCGGGGTTATTGTGAGAATTAATGTTCTCAAAGCACCTGCCATGTACTGTCTTACTGCATGCGTCCATTACCATTCATTGTGTGTTAGTGACTGTCTGCTTCTTGTAGTAAAGAATATTTGTGTTCAGCAGCATACAATGTGACAGAGTTTTGCATTTCAATTCAGGCTGATGCCTTCTGGCACAAGAAACAGGCTTAATATGGCACAACCAAGAGAGCAAGGATTAAAACTGGATCCTGTGCAGTGACATTTTGTATGTGAAAGGTTTTTAATTGCACAGAGGCAATTGCTTCTGACTGCTGAGCTCCTGGCACACAGCAGGGGCTCCTTCTTTGCCTCCATTTGCCCCACAAGCTGTTTATGTGCTTTGTTACAGGGTCTCTTTGCTCTGTGCCCTCCATTCTTCCACCATTATTTCTTCTGTCTGGGAGAGAGGTCATTCAGGGGCTCAACATTTTAGACTCTATTGGAGATAAGAGGAAGAGCTGAAATGTGGGGTGTGTGGAAGACATCAGTGGCCCCGTCAACTAGTTCATTGATCTACAGACTGGTTGAAACTGTAACTCTGCTAACTAGATGCCTGGGGCACCCTGTGTCTCCTGCTTCCCAGTTTTGTTTTTCACCAAAATCAATAGGGTTCTGCCCATTAATGCCTAATTTGAACATTTCCTGAAATTTGTAGGATGGCATTCCAGAGTTATTGCTTTATTCATAGACGTGCCATCAGGTTGAGAGTAGGGCCCCACTTTGTTCAGCCAATACTAATATTAACGAAAGCCCTGTTGTAGCAAGCCATCAGTGTTGTAGAGGTTAGCTTGCCTAGAATTAGACAGCGAGTAAATCAAAATCACCATTGTCAGTGGAGCTAACAAGTACTATTTTGTGATCACAACTGCAGTGTAACAACTCCTTCTAACTGAGGAGGAGCCAGGCTGTTAATCTGCATACTCTGTTGGGAACCCACAAAGCTGGCAGTTTGCTGTTTGATAACACTAGGCACAGATATAGCCCAGAAGCTCAAAGCACTTTGCCAAGAACAAGTGGGAATTAGCCCATTTACACATGAGGAGGGAATTGAAGTGCAGGGAGGTTACTTGCCCCAAGCTTGCCCTGTAAGTTAATGGCAGAGCCTGGACTAGAACCCAGAAGCCCTTCTTTCTGGTCTCCTGTTTTAACTGCTAGACATCACTGCCTCCCAAACAGCCAAATCTATACAATGGCAGAAGGGCATGGATGTTTGGCCATGATGCCAAAGTACTTAGGAAGCTACAGATGATGAGTCTAGAGTGGTGCTAAGTTGCTATGATATGAAAAAGTTGTACACTGCTTCTTAAAATGTCAAATAAAAGCTCATAAACCTAAGAGATGCTTGTGTATGTATATTGATGGGAACATGGGTATTGCCCCTTCAGATTGGCCCCGCTGTTGTTTATCCTGTTGCCAGCCGTGGTTCATATGACAGATGCGTCTGGGGATTCTTTGTGCTCACCTACAAAACTTAGAACCTGCAACTGATCTTGAGTGCTCTTCAGCTTGCAGTTACAGATCGGGGGGATTTGCAGGCCAAGCTTTAGGACTCATGGCATGAAGGCTCTCAGGGTCTGTCCCACAGGCCCAGAAGACCTATGGTACTTGGTCCTGCTGTGAGGGCAGGGGACTGGACTCGATGACCTCTCAAGGTCCCTTCCAGTTCTATGAGATGATATATCTCCATATATTCTATTCTATTCTATAGACATTGTCCAACTATAATCAGGGCTTTAAATGGGTTTGGGTCTTGCATCTGAATTTCAAGACTCTTGAGTGTGTTAAATATGGGACTTCCATAGGTCAATTCCACCTTGGCTGAAGCCTTTGACTTGTTTTTCAGGCTATGTGCATGCTTCCTCTCTCGCTCTTTTTCTCTCTCTTGTTGCATTGACAAGGATCAGGGGACATATATGTTGCTAGCCATCTGATCACAAATCTAGGATCCAGAGGCTTCATTTTCATGAACCAGTTTAACGTAAAACCCCAACTAGCCTGCTTTTTTAATTCTGACCTTACTGAGTTGCTTTATATTTCAGTGTGGACAACAGCGAGTACATGAGAAATGGAGATTTTTTACCTACCCGCCTGCAAGCCCAGCAAGATGCCGTCAACATTGTGTGCCACTCGAAAACCCGTAGCAACCCAGAGAACAACGTGGGGCTCATAACCTTAGCCAAGTACGTCTGTGGAGTTCCCCCCCAGACATCAGAATGACTCCTGCTCTCCCACCCTGAAGATGGGTGTGGTTTAGTTCAGGGTTTCTCAATGTTTCTCCCTCTCCTCCCCCCTTCAACATGCTATAAAAACTCCAGGGCCTGGCAAGGAGAGGAGTAAATTCAAGGCTCTTGGCTGGAGGAGGAACCCTTGGGCATAGGCATAGTTTTACTTCTATTTAGGGTGGGAGGGAAGGGCTGGCAGCTCCACACAGTGGGGTCCAGGAAAGGAGCCCCACCTTCAACCCAACTCACCTCAACAGGCCACCCAGCCTGTCTGGACTGTGCAGGGATGGAACCCAAAAATATAACTCAAAACAGGGACTCAGTTCAGAAAGTTTGAAAACTGCTCAGGGTGCAAAGAGGGGATAGTGAGGGGCTGTATATGGGGGAGGCTCCCAGTGCAACTCCCAGCTTCAGCGAAGGGAGAGGGGGAGACTAGAGTCCCCAGATTCATCTCTGCACCACTCCTGACTTGGGGGGGGGCATCTCCCACAAGCTTCAGCCCCGATCTCACCATTCCTGGTTTAGGGGGGAAGGTTGCTGACTTCTGCCCCAAACTGCTCCTGGCTTGGGGAGGCCACACTGGCTTCAGCCCTGCACTGCTTTTGAGGAAATGGAAGGAGTTTGCTCCAGGCTTGGCAAGGGGTGGGGGCGGGGCTGCTGGCCTGCGCCACTCCTAGCTTCAGCCCTGTTGGGGGGCGCCTTGCCTCAGGGCATTGGGTTTCAGTCATGGGGCCTCACAATCCCCTGAAAGAGCTCATAAATTCCCAGTTGAGAACCATTGGTCTATGTAATGTTTCCCAGCCAGTGGGTTGCCACCCCCATGGTGGTAAGGCGGTGAAGAAAGGCAATGTGGGGTATATGACAAGAGATTGTAATACTGTCTACAACAGAAGCTGTGCCTGCACACCTTAATCTTGCAAGGTTTAGTACTTTTTAGCCTCTCAGACATAAATTACATCGGCTTATCGTTGATGGAGTTCTTACCCTTTCTTTTACAGTAAACATGAGCTACAAATATTTTGTATCTTGCTTGAGGGGGGTCGCCAACCTGAAAAGGCTGAAAAACACTGATCTAGTGTACTGGGCACAAATCTGGCTTCTGCTCTTTTCCATGTGACTGGAGGGGGATTCTGTGCCTTGGTTTCCCCCTGAAAAAGGATACTACCTTACAAGTTGGGATTGGTCCTGCCTTGGGCAGGGGGCTGGACTTGATGACCTCCTGAGATCTTTTCCAGCTCTATGATTCTATGATTAATATGGCTGATTAATGGTTTGAAAGGACTTTTGTATAATAATGCACCCATTTCTGTTGTCCTAGTAACTGTGAAGTGTTGACTACACTTACCCCAGACACGGGCCGAATCCTTTCCAAATTACATTCGGTGCAACCCAAAGGGAAAATTACCTTTTGTACGGGGATCCGAGTGGCTCATGTAAGTGACCTTGTTCATTACTTTTTCTTAAACGAGTTGTCGTCATGTATTTCTGTAACCTCTCTCATCCTGAAGCAGTCTGTTAACTGCTAGTGTGGCCTTCTAGAGAGAGCATTGGACAGTGTCTTGGGGGCCTCGTTTGTTTCTGCTTTTGGCCTGCTGGGTGATCTGAAGTCATGTCACCTCTATGCCTCTGTTTCCTCCTCTGTAAAATAGAGACCTGATACCAGCCTCCTTTGTAAATTACTTTGAGATGCCTGGATGAAAAGTGCTAGGTAAGGGCTTGTTGTTATAATAAAGCCTTGTCATAGTGTTTGTTTAAATGATAAACACTGTAGCTGGTATAGCTGTACTGCACAGCAGTTGAAGATACTCAATTCCTTCATTTGGAAGTGCAGGGTGAATTTAGACAAGTGGCCTGTAACTACTGGAGTTGAAATTGAGCCAGGTTCCCGGATTTGATGTAATCCCGCTAGAACTCCTGTCTGCTACCGTGGTGAATAATAC